CAGTTTGAAAGCTTGTCCTGTGTCTCATGAAAGATGAATATTAACCGGAATGAGAAACAAAAATCTGATAAAGAAATTCTCTAAAAATATACGTACAAAGTTACTTTGGCCAACCGCTGTTCATGTCATAAGTAATCAATTTTGCAAACGCCAACTTTTCCAATTGCTTTAAGCAATGCTGCATAATCTGGCCCGTCAAACTCCTGGAGATTCTAGCCCCCGCCAAGTGTTTTTGCTAATAAAACCAAAAATATGCGCAAAAGACAAAGAGGATACTATGGTGACTACTTGTACTGGTGCATCTTTTGCCCTATTTAAACCAAGTTTACTAAATAAAACAGGTACAAGGGTGGTGCATATTACATTTTCGGTTCAAAGTAACGACCGGTTTTTGCCTAATATCGTCCTCAATCAAGCTGAGAGACCCAATTCGCTTACTCCACATTTCCCGCACAAATTCTACCGTTTCGCACAGGTCACTTTTGAGGTATTTGTGTTTTTCCACTAGTCTGAGGAGAAAAAACAGCTGAAAATGCTAGCTAAACTGCTGGGAATCCATTGCTCAACTGGCTACTTCTTACTTTTCAAAAAATCTACTTAATCGAATCCTGAGCTGTCCCACAAGCATGCATGAAAGGACAGGTTAACATGGAGCAAACTTTTAAACACGCCGCTTTTATTCTCCGGACGAAGGAAATCTCTGAAATCCTCCGTAGCCGTGGAGACTGCTAGCTGACGCCTCGGACCTACGGTACTGGGGATACACCGAGTCACTGCAAGGAACCAAAATTACTCCGCAAAGAGTCAGATTTTCTTATAAAAACGTTTCAACGCAATTCAGTGCAGGGCAAGAACTAAACTACATGGTATATGTACCCGAGGGCACGAACAAAGATTCACCGCGATGAATATGAAAGTACCAGGTAAATTATTATGAACATACGATGGAAGTTTGTTTGATAATTTGACTGTATAAACACAAATTTACATACAATATATATATATAGCTCAGCAGATTTCCCATGTCAGAAGTCTACACTGTGAAAGCACACTCTGAAACAGTCACTTAGAAAGCTCAAATTCATATCGTAATTGTTCACTTGCCACTCGCCCTGGCCACTTTTTGCTGACTTGGTCTCCCACTCGGCAAAGGTACCTCATATCACAGTTGTGGCAAAATAGTGACACCCAACACAAACCAAGAACGTCTTGAAATGGCCAAATTCTTGCCAAGTGCTTCTGTCATTAGAAACGCCGAGCTGATATTCCCTTCAGGAGACGAAACGAACATCGGGATCACCAGGAGAATGACCACCAGGCGATGCAGCACTGTCAAAGCAACTGGAAAAGTTGCCAGGAAAAATTGCATAGCCGGAGAAATAAAATATAAGTTACAGCTCCTCTACTGTAAGAAGAAAATGATAAGAGTGAAAATCAAGACAAAACACAGGTAATTTCCCCGAACAAACCCCTAATACGAACAGAATTTTTCCTGCTGTCTGAGAAATTTTGAAGAGGCGAGGTTTTTGAGAAGTGAGTGTACTGCGCATCATTTCACTGGAACTA